CAAAGATTCGTTGCCAAATTTACAAAAAAGAAACGTTGTATATAAAATCATTTGTAAGAACTGTGATGCATGTGGAATAAACGGGGAAAAAACTAAAAGAAAAGCTAGAGTATATGAACATCAAAACCATATATGTAGAATATCTCTCCCTTGGTTATCACTGAACACAAGTTGCATCACAGTCACGAATTTAATTGGGACAATGTACATAAGTGTGTTAGACGTTGAGAGTTATTATAACAAACGTATTGTGTCTAAAATAATACATATTAAACAACAATCTAATATAGTCTCAATTTGCAAAATGACATTGAAAATTTATATCGCATTTACATTGATATTCTGAACAAAATGTAAATCGGCCTTTATATTATTTTTATTGTCATTTCCATTTGTCATTATTGATTTGTCGTCCCGCTTTTTATCACATGAAATATTTTTGCTCTGTATTTTGCATTTTATATCTGATCTTATAAGATAACTGACTAATGAATGAATTTCTTCAAATATTTTAATAACTGATGATTCTATTCAGATATTTTATCAGGCAATGAGATGAGCAGAAAAAAAAATTTTTTTTAGTTCGATTTCTGTTCAACGTTATTTAATAAATGAAATCTGTACAGATAGAAAACCGAGAAATGTTTCTGAGTAACTTAGTATGGCCATTTTCTCTATAAAGTTTGTACACTACTGAGCCAGAAATATGATTAATTAATATGATTGCAAAGCTATATAGATGTAACAACATTACATAAGCATTATATTGTTTCTGCGGTAATTTTTAAATATATCTGCTGAAAATGGCTAAAATATCTGAAATGTATACGGAACTTATGTAATAATTTTTTGAAAATTTTTATAATCCTGAATTATTAAAGTTTTAAAATTATTATAATAGAATATTGCGTTTACAGCGCCAATTCCAAGTCCTTGATTAATACGATTTTGATTTAATAATATTTATGACATAAAAGAGAAAATTTTAACCTATTTTTATCATATGACATAATCATATGATTCATGTATACTATGCTGTGTGAGAAATAACAATGAGATTACTCAGTGAGAAATAACAATTGATGTCAAATCGATGTCAATTTGATGATTTCGATATCGAATCAGCATCAATTCCATTATCATTTCTCATTAAGATAATAATCATTTGTGCTTCAAAAAGAACAGTACAGAAAAATAAATATTAAAGATTATCAGAAAGAAACACTTAACATACTCATCAAGTTTTATAGAAATTATTGGTGAGGAACAATACATAGCCTCCCTTCGTAAGATTTAAGCCCTAAATACAATGCGAGGTAATAAACAATAGCGATAGAAGTAATGATAGAAGTAATGATAGAAATAGAGGAATTCACCCAGGTAATAAATGTTAATAGAAAGTTCGATTCGTATTCCCAATGTGCCGAATATTCTGGCACAGTGAAAGAATCGTCACAGAATATACCAGATGAAATGTTCAGAATTGTATGAATATTCTTTATATAAAATATCACGAAAATTGCGAGCGAGCAAGCAGTAAATATTTTCACCGACAGAGGATCGCTGCGAAGAGTATTTACGTTAACAAGAATTATCTGGGAAAGAATATAAGGAGCGCAGCATTTCGTTTATAAACTTTATAGAAATTCCAGATTCGGTCGTTCCTTGAATTCAGTTTCAAACAAAATTTTGCTTTTGAAAAATACTTTCACCTTAGATTTTGAGGCTCACTTTATACATAAAGTAAGCTCCAAAAATTGAAAGTGATTCAGGCCTCAGGGACGACTTGATCCGGAATTTCTGGAAAAATTAAAATGTTGCGGAACATATATGGAACATTCTCGGAATATGTAACGATATATAAATGGAATTTTTAATCAATATGTGTATAATCAATAATCAATATATATACACGATATAGGAATAGAATATTTGAATGTTGTTTTTACATTCTATAAATATTTCGAAATATTCTAGAATAGTCTTGGAATATCTTTTGGGAATTTTAGGAACTTTTTATGAATATTTCAGGATTATTTAGCGTTAGATACATTCTGAAATGCATATGTCAGTGCACATAAGAACATACGAGGGCAAGTCAATAAGTTCTTAAAAAATCTGTCAGAGAGCACTCGCAGTGTCATGTCATTACTTTTTGATAAGTAGCATTTCTCAGTTGATTACTGTCAAATTTTGAGCGGAATTCATCGCGTAATTTCATTTATGTAGACGATTAAAGCAAACAATCTTTGTATTTTTTGTAAAATGGAGAAAAACGAGTTTCGTGCAATGATCAAACGTCATATGAAAGGTTTAACACCGAAAGAAATAAAAACCGAGTTGGATAATGTTCATAGCACATCTGCATCAGCGTTTGCGATTGTATATAATTGGGTGAATGAATTTAAACGTGGTACACATGTGATGCACCTCGTTCGGGACGTCTAATTGAGACTGTTATCAAAAATCATCGATATAATCCACGATATTGTTTTGACTGATCGACGAGTGAAAGTGCGCGAGATTGTTAAGGCCACAGGCATATCACATGGCACAGTGATTTCAATTTTGCACGAATATATGAAAAAGTTATTGGCAAGATGGATACCGCGTTTGCTCACTGTGGACAAACGCGACGATTTCAATGTTTGGAGATGTTTCAATTCAGATGAATGATTGCGATTCATTACTGTGGACGAAACTGTGGATCCATTATTTCACACCCGACACGAAGGAACAGTCAAAACAATGAACCGGGTGAATCATTTCCGAAGAAGGCAAAGATCATAAAGTCGGCCGGAAAGGTGATGGCCACAGTTTTTTGGGATGTAGTATAATTCATATCAATTATCTTCTGTCGAAGCAAATGATTAATGATGATTACTACACAACCTTATTTCAACAACATTTTAAAGAAAAAACATCCCCATTTGGCGAAGAAGAAGATACTCTTCCATCAAGACAATGCTCGGATTCATGCGTATCCGACACCGATGACCAAATTCAACGAATTCCGCTATGAATTGCTTCCCCATCCAGCATATTCACCAGATTTAGCCTTCTGCGACTATTTCCTGTTTCCAAACCTGAAGAAATAATTCGGAGAAAAGAGATTCATCACTAGAGAACAGCTCATCGCCGAAACAGAGGAGATTTTGAAGAGTTGGACAAATCATATTATTCAGACGGAAAAAGTTGGAGAATCATCGGATCAAATGTATCGAGCTGAAAGGAGACTATTGAGAAATAAAAATGAATCGATCAAAAAAAAAAATGTGTTTTACTATGTCTTTCTAAAAACTTATTGATTTGCCCTCGTAGAATAATGCAATACTAATAAATTTCTGACGAGTTAGAATTCTATCGCCTTACAGCCTATTAATCAGATTTTTCATTCCGTTTATATACGCTATATAATCTTGGAGCAGATGCAAGAGTATACTGCAGCAGGGCTCTTATTTTCAAAGAGTAAATTTTTTCACGCTACCCTCCTGTTTGGTTCCATTTTATGAAAAAAAAAAAAACTATAAAATTTTAGCTCAATCATAAATAGAGAGAAAGGGATCTTGAAAATCGAAAAAATCATAAAAGAAAAAAATCAATTTTATTTATCTTGTGAAATATTAATTATATGCAAAAAAGTATTGTTGTCCGGAAAGTTCGTGCCGACTAACCTATATAATTTAATAAATGTATATTAAAATTTAAATCTTCTGCGTTTTAATTTTCCTTCAAAAACGAACTTTCTGGACAATCCAATATTATAAAAGTTGTAGATCCATTAAAATTGTGCGTATTATTGACTACTTATTTTCCTCGTACGACTAACGATTTCTGAGAAAAATGTGAAAATCATTTCTTTTTTCTACAAAATTTTGACATTATGGAATATAAAATCTTTTTTTATATTACCTGAAAATTTTCGATGATAATCACTTACAATCTGAAGCACATATTATTTCTATTTTTTGTTTTTCATATAAATAATTTATTATAATTTTCCATAAGCTTGACCCCTCTCTCATGACCGAATCATTTACAACTTATTTACTATCAATTCCAGATCTTTTAGAAAACTTTTATTTTTATGTCAACGGTTCTGTCTTAAGGAATTCACCATTCAAGTCAAATCTTTCGAAAAATCCTTTAGTCTTGGTGGAAACGAATTGTTCAATTCCGTTGTTAATAATTTCTGGGATTTTATCGATTTATATATACAATAGTTTCCGTTAAGAAGTGGCTCACTGAAATGTATTAATTAGTAAGAAAAAGCTTTTTTTTGTAATTACAACATCATACTGTCTCTGGGAGGATGGCTCAAAAGTGAGCCGAAACATGTAAGTGGATTAATTATTAATAAAGTTATTTTGTTAACCGTTTGGTTTGCACAAGAATTACCGTGCTTGACTTCTATTGCCCTGTTGTATCCAACATTAAGGAGTCTTTAGGAATTAATTTATATTTTACATTTTTCTCAGAAATTGTTAGTCGTACGAAAAACAAGTAGTCAATAATATGTGCAATTTTAGTGACTCTACATACAACTTTTGTATAATACTTTTTTGTATATAATTAATATTTCACAAGATAAACAAATAAAATTGATTTTTTCCATGATTTTTTTGATTTTCAAGATCCTAGGGGCACCCTTTTCCTTTATTCGATTGAGCTAAAATTTTACACAGATTATTTTTTTATAACATGGAATCAAACTGGGAGGTAGCGCGAAAAAAAATTTCCAAAAAATTTTCACTAAGAGTAAATAAGAGCCACCTTAATATTGCAGTCTATAAGCGGTCAGAATGCGGTTAGCCTTTTTTTTATTTCTTCCGCAGTATTGTGCAACGGAAGGCGACAATTATGTATCGCTTGTTTCTATATTGCTCTTATTTCTATACTGTTCTTGCCTCGCATTGTCTAGAGCTTTATTCCGTTCCTCGATCTTATTTTTTTTCCGATTAATGTTCGCTCTGCACTCCTAATTAATGCCAATTACGTACTCAAGTAGTATTTGTTGAGTTTTATTACTAAGAGTTTTAATGTTGAGTGCGGCGGCGTCGGTCATTGCCCCGCCAAATCCTTGTATCTTTTGAAATTTCTGATTAACGTCCACTGTGAGAACCAGATCGGATTCATTTTTGGCGGTGAAATTCATAACGGACGATTGCATTCTTTTGCCATCTTCAGTGGATGTATACCATAAAAGCTGATTCTGTTGTAATTTTTGCTTGCTTACTGTATCGCAATACGTCGAATTACAGACGCATACTATAGAATTGTTTCCGAATGAACGTGGTATACATTCGTCTCCTGTAATGGAAAGAAGAACATTCAATTATATGTTTCAATCTTAAATTGCCATATATATTTTTTTAATTAACACATTGTTATAAGAGTCTTTTTAAAAATATCGAAGCTTTGAAATTAAATTCACTCATTTCAGTAAATCTGATCTACACTGATTGTATGCAAAATTCGCAAGTTCAAGTTTATTTTTTAAGTATTATAAGTGCCAGACAATTTCGAAAATTTTACCGAAATCAATATATCGTCGCAATTTATATATGACATTGCGAAATTAAGCTCATATTACTTTCAAAATAAGGAGTTCAAAAACAAAAAAATAACCGACAGATAATAATATAATAATTATGTAAAGTGATGCATCATAAATGTAAAATTAGTACAGAATTAACGTGTAGTACATAACATAATAAATAGATAGTAATTTTCTAAAAAAAAATTGATTTACTATAAGTAGATCTTTTCAATTTTTCTTTCTATAACAATATCATATGCATTTTTTGAAATAGTAAACATAATTATTTTGTAATTAGTAAATTGTATTTATTAAAATTTAAAAAAGGATGTAAGTAATGGAAACTATGACACTGATACATTTAATAATGTTTGGGTAAATGTTTAGGGGATTTTAGGGACAGCTCCGATGATCTTGATGTATGTTGTCAAGGTCATAAGTGCTAAGTAAGAGAGCCCTAAGTGATTTCCAATAAATTCTAGTGATATTATCTCTTGACATATCTCTTGACATTATTCGTTAATAAAATAATAACAAAAGAAGTTTAAGAAATAATATCTTAATTACTGCTTAGGGACGCACGACTTTCCATGCGAAGCAAGTTCCATCCTATCTGGCCAAGTTGCTTTGCGTGAAATTTGTACGTCTCTAAACAGGGGGAGGAGGGAGAGAATGGGGAGAGGGAAGGAGATGAGGTGGGAGTCGCTTCTCGTGAAAGACATGCAGAAATAAGACGTTATTTTTCTAAAATTCTTTTGTTAATTTTTTTAATGAATAACGTCCACCAATTAAACCTGTCGAAGGTCACTTAGAGTCATGACCTTGACAACATATGTTAAGGTCAAGGTTATCGGAGCTGGGTCCCTTAAAATAAATAACATTTAACAATATTTGTCAATATTTGTTTTACTCGGAAATTTTTTTCATTGGCCACGAAAGATTTCGAAAACATTCTTAAACGTAAATTAAAAATAAAATAATATCAAATATTGTTTTTAATTGCACATACCTTTCACTGTGATCAAGACAGCAATCAAAATTAACGTGCGTAGCATTTTTAATTGTTGCGAGGAACTCTTCTTAATCTGCAAATAAAGTAATAAAGTGCGGTTTATTTTTTGATTAAATGATCGACTCATGACACAAAAATATAAATATATATATACATACGTGCTGCATTATATATACGCTTATTTTAATTGACTATTATCTGTGATAATAATTATCAGTGCGTAAAATCAATAGATAATTGGAATTTATTTATATAATTCAGATTTTCGGATATCGCTTTATTCAATTGACTTTTTATTATATCTAAAGCCTCTATTTATGTTATTTATGTAAGAAAATCTTTTATTTTTATATCTATTTAAATAATGATAATAATTTCAATAAAAATTGTGCATAGTTTTTGTAATATATTATATACTTATATGTTTTATATATATATATATATATATATTATATACGTCTTACAATAGTAAAAATCTCTAATTGCATCAATATTGGCAACGCGTCAAATATTTAAAATTTTTATAGTACTGGAATATACATAATTTTTTGATGATTTATGTGGTTGTGTGTGATATTGTATCTCAATATTATTTATTACCATTATATTATATTAAATAGCGATATTAATAAATATTAATTAATTTTGTTTCGATTATTATATAAAATCAAGAAACATCGATATATCAATATGATAATCGAAATAAAATTAATTTATTAATATTGCTATTAATCGAATAGGTATTTTTTTTATTTTTTTATTTTCCTGTTTATATTGTATTTTCCTGTAGCTATGATTAATTGTCTTTTTTATAATTATTTATTTGGTAATATTACACACGAAAGAGTGTTGTAAATTTAAATGCTCATTTAGCCAAATTAAGCCAAATTAAATCAAATTTTAATTTTCGGCGGATTAAAAGTAGGTCATGAATGAGGGAAGTGTCAGAGATTTGAGGGAACTGTGTCGCTGATGATGACTAAAAAAAAAAGAGTCGAAATGTTCGTATTGAAATACATATTCAAGTAAATACTGCACGAAACAGCAGTATAATTTAATTACGCTTCAATGTTTTACATTCTCATTTGTCTTAAGTTCATTACTGTATTTCAAGAGTCACAAGGAAATTATAATTTTTACAAATTAAAAATAGATCATTACACAATCACTAAAAATGTAATGCTTAAACTTGGTATCTAGATACATAGGTACTCAGAAACATAAAAAGAACAACCGTAACGAAGTGTAATATTTCAATCCTCCTTTTTCTTTTTTTTAAGAGTTGAGTTCTGTTTTCATTCTTCTTTTTTTAGTTCAATTCTTTTTAATATAATCTCTTACATGTATATAATATAGATTTGTTTGTACCTCAATATCCTTGAAAGTCTTACTATTCGTAGAGCAGAAACATTACTATCGTTTATTTGTTAATGGTATGATGATGACTGAAGAATAGCACGACATTAGTCATTCGTGTGTGCCTATCGGAACGTACAATAATGTTTCCGATAAGCTCGGTAATGTATTTATCAGTACATTTTAATAGATGCACATTTTCTTAGTTTAGGAAACTATCTTTTTTTAGGAAAAGAAAAGTTGTTCTTGCTATGATATATTCGAGAAATTGCATTAGTTCATATCTAAGAATTATTTTTAACTAGGCAAGATGTTAAATTTTTGGAATCTAAAAATGATATCGCAAGCCAAATTTTACTATTATGTCAGGTTTTCGAAATAACTGACGTTTAGTACATTAAAAATGACTTTTTTGTGTAAAAAATTTTAACAATGTATTAAAAATCTAATTAGAAGTTATAAATATATTATTCATCCTATTTTAAAAATGCATTTTTTACTTCAATCTTACTTTTTAATCATTATTATAAAGGATTTAAATGTTGAAAATTAGCTAGTGACAATGTTTTGCAGTAACTAAAAATATATAGGATTATCTTATCTGGTTTAAAATAAAAAAAAATTTTTGTAAATTGTTACTTCTTTTAATAGTTTTTGAAATAATTAAAATAAGTGATTTTTTAAAATAATTTTTAGTAAAGCGTTGCTTATAGACACAATTTAAACAGGTGTAAATATAATAAGGTCTATACAATTAAATGAACTTATGATCTAATTTATGATCCCGCTTCAAAAATATTTTTTTGGTACATTATATATATTAACAAAATATGCACTTTTAAAAAGGTTAAAAAAGAAAAATCAATTTTTTACTTCTAAGAAAATACACAAGAGAGTTAATATTTATATTCTTTCAAGAATACTTCTCTCAAGAATTTTATAGAAAATAATATATTCGTAACAACATATTTATTAAAAGAGAAGAAAATATTATTTTTACAATGTATAACGATTTCAGACTCTTTATTATATATATTTATATATATA